GCTGCAACAAAACTCTCTATCTCAGTTACCGTATCGCCTCTACAGCAGGAAAAAAAAATGGACGGCTGATTGTGTCAGTGTTTGAGATACACAAACACCAGCATCAACTGAACGTGATTAATCACGCTCGCAGTTCAGATCGGGGCTTTTCTAAATGAGAAAAGATGAGAGAATTTTTTGGCAGAAATATCCTCCACGTCTCTCCGTACGTCGGCTTCTGTCTGTGTTGCTTTACAGATCGGAAATTGAAGGAGCTTTACTGGACTAGGAGAGCTAACAGTGATAATACAGAGTTAATTAACGGAACTGAAACTCCGTGAGACAACAGAAGAAGAAGAAGAAGAAGAAGAAGAAGAAGAAGAAAGATAGAAATGTGATGTTAATGTCATACAAGGAATAAGCACAGTGGCTCTCAAGGTAGGGGTTGGGCCCCCTTGGGGGCACAGAGCTATTCCATGTAGGGGCCAAAGCAGGGCAATTTCATTTCAAAAAATCTTTTCTACTAAATTTCCAGACAAGTGAGCAACATGTTTAGCTACATTTATAACATTTTCCACCATTAAAGAGGACAAGAATGTGATGATGTTTTTCTCTGAGATGTAAGAGTACTTTGTAGTATCTCTCAACTTCGACCAAACTCCACAACAAGCATTAAGTGCGACACCTTAAACTTTAGCACCACCTTGACTTTAAAGGCTCTGGATGTTAAAGGATTTAAGAGACTAACGGCAGTAATTGATGCGTGTCTCCCTCTGCTTTAAATCCTTAAGGCTTTGCAGGTGGAACATTTGAAGCAGCAGCAGCAGCAGCAGCAGCAGCAGCAGCAGCAGCAGCAGCAGCAGCAGCAGCAGCAGCAGCAGCAGCAGCAGCAGCAGCAGCAGCAGCAGCAGCAGCAGCAGCAGCAGCAGCAGCAGCAGCAGCAGCAGCAGCATAATGAACGCTCAGCTTATCAAAGTAAAACTGACCAAAACAGAAAACAAAAACAGAAAGACTCATCATCTGGTGCAGACAAAGTGAAGACCTAGCAGAAGTGTCAGCGCAGATTGATGACATCATTAAGGCTTTATGAAGCCCATTAGAGCACGCCCCCCCCCTGTTGTCTTATTTTGGTAAAATCTAAATATATTCAGGGAAATAAATCCTGCACAGACAAACTAACGTCGTTTACAAAGGAGCGAGAACCATTAACTAAGACGCACATCACGTAATAGAATTTGTGGATGGAGACATTAGCTCCAGCTAATCGTGTTCAACTGTTGTATTAAAGGTGGTGTTGATGTTTGCTGCTGTGAACAAATAAGAGAGAACTGTGCCGGCTGCGGGGCCTGTGATGGTGATGAAATGTTGCTGAAATATTTAAGACGCTCAAACGCTGTCACGCTGACAACACTGCTGATTCATGTTGACACTGTGGGAATAAACGCTTTATATTGTGCACTCTGGGGGAGGGGGGGTGGCCCTGGGG